ATTAGCTAGATTTAGTGAAATAAAACTTAAAGATAACCATAAATATCGACGACTTATGTATACATGATTCAATTGATGCTTAATACCAATTACAGCCCGGTAGAAAAAAACATAATATACTCGTGTAACATACTGCCCTAGACAAAAGTAGCTACTGTTCAAGAAGTATTACTGTTCCTCATGATATTGAGCTGTTATTTTAGATGTATGTATGTGACCGTAAAATCTAATTCCAACTATCAACCCATCTTCCATTGCTTCTCATGTATTGGAGTTATGGTTCAGACATCATTTTTCTCTTGTGATCAGCTTATCTCAACCATATTGGTATAAATATTTTTATTCAACCATTCATTCGAAAAGCTACTGTCATGGATATCTCAAGTTCGAACCTTGTTAGAAATTACTTTGAAAGAGTGTGGGTGTGGGACTTGGAGCGTTTTCTTCACCCACATTCACACCTACACCCTCTTCCACATACTATGTAAGTTTCACAGAATAGGAAGTGCATTCCTGTGGTGAATTCTTGTAGTTAAAAGCACATGAATTTGAAACATTTACTTCATAGCAATATGTATTCATTAGCAATATAAGATCTATAATGGCTAAGAAGATTGAGAGTTAAAATTTGGATGTGGTCAGATGGAGTATGTGGTTTGAAGTGAGGATCAAATTCATTACAACACAGTACCACTACAATTTCGATTAAGACAGAGGGTACTCCACTGGATGGCGTAATTGACTAACACATTAATTCAATAGATTTATAAAATTAGCGAGAATTACCAAAAGATGCCAGCATTGGACATACCACTTCATATTCTGGCGAATTCCAACTTTTTCCATCTGTTGGAATTTACTTGCACTAGAAGTAGCCAAAACTGTAACTGCAAGTTATTCACACTCATTGAAATGAAATTTCAAAGTGTCCAAAATTGAAATTAGACCGAAGCTTGCTAGAGTTAACTCGAATTTTATTTCGAATTAATGCACATAAATGCAGCCCTTCAGGCATAGTTTCATCATCAACATTGAGTTGTCGTGAAAAAGTTTACGATGGCAAAAGAGATTACAAAGAGCACATCGTCAAAGTGAGGATGAGAGCAGAATGTATTACATAGGATGCAGCGCTCGAGTGATACAGTGAACACACAGATTGTGGTTTATATTATATGTTCTGTTCGTTATAGTGATTATACGTATAAAGTGCATAATTTGCATTATGAACATCACTTCAGTCATTGAATAATTAAATTAGTAGTCATCGAAGAACTTTGAAGTCGGCTGGTCTCCATAGACTAGTTTCAGGTATAAGATGTGTATTCATGAGATGTGTCTCGATATAAGGAGTAAAGACATAGGTAGTCTAGACTTAATACCTATGGTTTGAGGCATTATTTGAGTACTTTGGTACTAGAATAACACTCCAATAACTCAATCCGCTTTTCATCAAGAACACTGTCAGCAACTTTCGTCCACACCAACGTTATGTTTATCGAGCTTATTTTTATTTTTTGCTTTTCCATTATCTATACAGTGAAGTCCTTCCTTGAGTGATAATTATGATTCAGATAAACTTTACCATCTGCTTTTCTATCGCAATTATATGACAGCTTTATTAAACTTCTAAATTAGAATTCAGATAAAATATATCTTCTATTTTTTGTCGCAGTTACATGACAGCATTATTACAATTATAAATTATGATTCAGATAAACTTTTTCGTTTGCTCTTCTGCCGCATTAATATGGCAGCCTTGTTTCAATTATATCGAGTGCGGCATAAAGATTGTAACATTTATCATTTTGCATTATATCACAGTACAAATAAATCATATACTCTTGATTGCTTTTTAGAGAATGCGCCGTGAAAAGCTCTTCAGAAACAGTAAGAACAAATTCCTATTGACGTTTTCTGATAGTGCCTCCTATATCCAGAACGAACGGGTCACATGATCGTGCCATGTCCCACTGTATTTAGCATAATAGAAATATTTGGAAGACTTTTTTTTGCTTTGCAATAAGAATTTCTTCATACAGTTTTTGTAAAGATTTTCACGGTACATTTAAAAAAATCCAAGATTATATGATTTATCTGTGGTGTGACATTTGCAAAATACTAAATGTTGCAATCTTTATGCCGCATCCAATAGTATGAGACGAAATATCATCTCCGATATGAACGGTCACCGTAATATTGACTTTACAGTTTTTCTGTACCATACAAATCTTAAAACAATAGTTCCTAGACAACTAGTTTTTGGTATGGATGTAGGTAGGTATGGGTTTGTTCAAAAATGTCAACACCCACGTCAATATCCACACATTCACTATAGTTATTATTCGAAATGTTCAAAAATTATAGACACTTCTACACTATTTGATCTACGAAAATTTTTTTGCATTCAGTAAAAACCAAAATAAATAGGCAGATATATGCAGAATTTTATGCTCTATCTTTCTATTCTATTGAAAATAAGGTCTAAAGCGGGGCAGATTTATGACCAAATTTGGTGGTGTCCTTTATATAGAATTGTTCTAGCAGTATATGGAAAATATAGAACCGTCTTTGTTTACATTAAAATACTGTTTAGAGTAATTTAAAAACACAAGTGTATTACATACAGTCGTACGCCGTTTTCTTGTGAAGATCATAACTGAAAATGGAGTTCGGTCGAAATACAGAAAATAAGCAATTTGGATGAAGAGAAAGTATTAAGTCTACATGTAAGTAACAAAAGTCTTTTTTAAAACTTTTCATATGTAATCCAACGAAATTTCTCTAAAATGATTGGTCACAATCGGTATAAGCCACAAAAAAAACACAAAAAGACGAAAACAGTAAGAAGCTATTTAAGACTATTCAATTTTTTTTATCAAAAAAGAAAATGGTCGAATCCAACCACAAAAGTTTTGTTGATTTGTTTGAAACAGTTTGTGAGTTGAACAAAAGAGTACCTTTAAAATATATACATATAGGGATAGACCAAGTATTAGGCGATAGAACTTGAAAAATTGCACGAAGTTCTTAATAAGCTACTTCTTCAAGAGATATCATAGACCCATGAAAATACTTCTTTTTACTTTACTTCGGTTCAAACACATCACTAGCAGAGTATTTCGATTGTTTTGTCTATAGAAATAACATTAAAGCAGCTCCTTCTCTCTATCATTCGAAGACTCTTAATTCGCTTTACAAAAGAATAGTATACTCAAAAAATAATAGTATCTTATCGGAATTTGCACATTCAACTCTATTGACCGGATCCGTCTATCGAATAGATTGATTAATATTGAGATTCCTGCTACTAGTGTTGGATTTTGAACCATGATTTCATCTGTAGTTTGATTTTAATGCATTTCACTCTCAGAATCTTATTAGATGATTTTCTGATTGTTCAATCTCTGAAAAGTGTTAACTTCTCAACCCTATGACTTAATCCGTCACATGGTGTAGAAGCTCAACTTTCAGAATAATTTGAGAACTCCTGACTCATAAGTGTGAAACAAAAATAAATTGATCATTCCTAAAAGTATTTTGTACGAAAGTTCAGAAAATATTTTGAGAATAGATTGTTCATAATTTTTGGCTGAAACGTAAAATGCCTGGTAAGCAATATTGTTTCGAGAGTGAACACATAGCTAGTTGGATAAATCGCTGATCAAGCAGTTCATTCAATAGATACATAGAAAGATAGACAATTCGTCAGGGTAGTTAAATGGGTAATTAATTAAGTAGACAGAGAGATAGTTAAAAATAAATAAATATAGAGATGGCACTTAGTGAGTAGATCTATGTATAAAAAGATATACTCGAGAATGGAAGTCTTCATCGCGAGAGTTTGGGTCTCGAAAAGAACTAGTAGAGATGTTTTCTGGATTTTGAACTTTTTTATTGTAGAAAAAAATGAATCTAAATGTATATCCTTTTTTCATGTAAAACCTTCAAATGGTTCAGAATTCTTTGTGATTTTCCGAATATTTTTAGGTTTGGTATAGTTCTTCTTTTATTTTTAAGAGTACACACTCTTTTTACTGTATAGTTTGATCATACTATGAAATATAAATGAACATAGTGCTAAACGATACATCTATGTTTCGATATCATTTACGACAATTATAAAGAATTGTGTGATAAAGACCATAAAATACATTGAAATATAAGTACATTTTATTTCTTTTTGTAAGTATTAAAGTATTATATCTCCAATATGAATGTTTTCATAATTTAAAACTATTGTTCTTGTTCTTTCTTTATAATTTATGCACAAAGCATATCAAAAATATATTTGTATCTGTTTTAAATTCGATTTTTCTTTCTCATCGTAATGTTATCATTATCCTCAACAAATAATGACGACAATAATTCAAATATCATTGATTTATTGTATGATTTATGTAAAGAAAATGAAGTAGAAAAAGTTCGAAATATTCTACCATATATTGATAATATAAATATTATAAATAAAATTCAAAATTCAACTGGCTCAACATGTTTACATGTAGCATGTTATTATGGACATCGACATATGGTACAACTTTTATTAGAATATGGAGCTCTACATTCTATTAGAAATTTACGACATAATTTAACACCTTATGAAGAAGCATATACAGATGATATAAAACAGTTATTTGTAGAACATCGTAAATTATTTTCAAACAATGATTTTGATTATGATTATATTGAATGGTCAGTAGTAGGAGATGATCTTCTAGGAAAACGACGTGAATTTCGTCAAGCTATTGATTTATATAAAACTTATAATAATCATCATTTAATATCAAAATTAGTAGCTGAAGTTATTCATTATTATTTAAATGAATATCTGATAAATGAAAGTAATGATAGTAACAATTCAGAAGATCAAATTACTCGTCAACAAATTGAAACTATCGAAGCATATTTTAAAGAAGCTATAGAAAAACAAGATTATTTAACATATTTTATAAAAGCTTATACATTAACAAATTGTTTTTATAAAGTATTAAATAAACATTTAGCTTTATATATATTACAATATTTTGATACAACAAAAGATTTTTCATCAAATTATCGTCTTGTCAATTGTCTGGTTCATATTGTTACACTCTTAATTTATCATCCAAATTTACCTCAATATCAATATAAAGGTTTATGTTATCGTGGTATGAGAATAACACAAAATGATTTAAATCAATATCTTTCAAATCAACATATATTAAATCGTTCATTTTTATCAACATCAATTGATCGTGAAGTAGCTGAAATGTTTGCTGGTGAAGGTCAACAATCAAAAATGAGATATACTCCTAAAGATCATTGTATATTACAATATTCATGTTTATGTCAATATTTAATAAAACAAAATTCAACAGCTATCAATATACAAAGTTTATCAACAAGACCGGATGAAAAAGAAATTTTAATTCTTCCATTTACTGTTTTTAAAGTCATAGCAATTAAACGAAATTATCTTGATAATCCAAAAGTATCAATATCAATTGAAATTGAATTAGAAGAATGTGAAGATTCAAATGATAATAAAAATGAATCAGAAAGTAAGATATTTTTCTTTATGTACCTCGAAAAAAATAAAAATTAACTCTTTTAATTCTGTCAAATTTTCAGATAGTGAAACATTAAGAATATCTTCATTGTCATCAACTATTGATGATATAAAAGATGTTGAGGAATATCAAAAATTCAAACAACGAAAATGTCGTCTTTATGGCATCATTGCATTTTTGGTGTTCGCTATTCTTTTGGCTTCAATTTTTATATTCGTTTTTATTTTCATTATTCAAAAGGATTCCACGAAACAGACTACAACCATGACAACGCCTACCACACAAAACGATAATGCTGATGACGATTATTCATTACCACCAGGTAAAACTGAAATAACAAGAAAGAGACTTGCCAGAGAAGGTTCTAATAAGTTAAAATATGAAATCTCTTCCCAACTGCGTCAAAATATGTGTATTTTGGCTTTTAAACATATTAATTAAAATTTATTTTTTCCTTATTGGCAATTAAAGCCACTGATTTTGATTTCAGATTTTGTCCAATCAAATCATTAACTCTATATTTCATAGACCGCAAAGAAACATATAACGTTGATTTCTCAATTAATAGATTAATAAAACTTGATAGATTTAGAATAAACTATTCTTTGCAAGAAAAAATTCTATTCTTTGTTGAACAAGTACAAAATAGGTATGTTTGATATTTACTTATTGTAGGTTGTCCCAATATATTAAAACGCTCTGACTGGAATGCACGTCCGTATACCAATCGTGACAATTTAACAACACTACCGGTTACAAATATTGTTTTACATCAATTAGAAGGTTTGAATTCAATTATGAATCACCAAGATTGTGTTACTCAAATAAAAGGAATTCAAGATTATAACATGGATAAAGAAAATTATGCTGATATTGGTTTCAATTTTATCTTGTGTGATGATATTGGTGATCAACAACAAATTTATACAGGCAGAGGATGGAAATTTGCTGGTGCACATTGTAAAAGTTATAATAAACAATCATTGGGTAAAAATGAAATTCCCCTTTTAACTTCCTAGAGCAACAGATCTTAGATTTTTGTCAATTTGATCTTGTCATACAGTTAAAAAAGTTTCCATAGAATTAAAAAAAAACTCATAATGAGTTTATAAAAGTGCAACAATCTACAAATCCTTTACAAATGCATTAAAATTGTCAATGTACCCTTGAGGAATACATTGACAGCTTTGATATGCGTCTGAAGCGTTTATAGATTGTTGCACTTAAGTTTAGTAATATTTTATATGAATTTTAATGTATATGGTTATATCATTGAGTATGCTTCTTGACCTTCGGTTGTGGCTTACGCGGACTGATGTATCAAAGTTTTTGTTGCTGAAGTGTTCTATTGCTTTTCAAGTTAGCGTTTCGACATTTCAAAATTTGTTTTTTTTTTGTTTTTTGAAAGGTATTTGCATTATTGGCAATTATACCAGTATGAAATCTTTAAAGGCATTTAAATCATTAATTCAATGTGGTATTATAAAGAATGATATTATAGAAAATTTTACACTGGTTGAACATTTTAATTCAAAAGAAATTTACAAATATTATCTGGAATATTTTAGAAATGATATCGATCTTCAATATAGTAATCAAGTCAGCAACGAAACGTTTTTGTGTACACCTTAAAAAAGGATACCGCACTCTCTGAAAAAAAGAAGATGTCATAAGGAACTATTTACGGTTTTAGCGAAGATGCTGAATTTTTTAAGATTCTATTTGTTTATTAATAAACTAGCAAACGTTCTAGATAACTTAAAGAACCATAGCAGATTAAAAATGATTCCAGAAGTTTAAAGGAGTTCCATCTCACATCGTTTTTCTTTAAGTTGAACTTCTTTTACAAAAATAGTCCTAGCACGCAAGTCGCTTGAAGTAAACTGGAATCATTTTTTTTGAGCGTGACTTCATTAACGTAAATCCGAAATATCTGTACTTATACAATAATAATAAAAAGTTGTCAGCGCAATCACTGTGGGATTAAAATGTGAAACATAATGTAGCTGTTGTTGTCAATCCCTTAAAAACTGGTCTTTTTTTATGTATATTGGGGCTTATTTCTTCATCATTGCTTACTTTACAGTATAGAGCTTCAACAAGAAAACACTCCATATAGTCCAATTAGATATTAGTCATACATGATCTTCAATATTCTCTTGAAGCCGTCTATCACGGTCTGTGATGGATTTAGACCTTGTTTGTCATGGTCTGGGTGTGGGTAGGCCTGAATGTGGGTATCAATCTTCCTTTCTTTCACACCCACACCCTGCATAATTTAAAAATTGAATATCTCTGTCCGGATACACCATGGGCAGCTTATATTTTAAATTTGTTAGTTACTCAGTGAAAATGATTATTTGATCAGAACATGGTTAATCTCTTTGCTCAACAGTACACATTCTTCCATTGTTAGCTTTCTTAGTAACACAATATTGAACTAGCGTTTTTCAGACAAAGAACAGTTTTTATTTCAATTTTATTTTAACTTCTTTCAATAAACTAGTTCTTAAAAGCTCTTGGATTTATATGGATTTGAAAGTTGAGAAGCTAAAAACTTAAATTGATTCCCTTCCAGACGAGTGTTCCAATTGTTGGCAGTGGCTGCGGAATATATATAAGCGTATGTTCATGTCCCTTCTTCTGGCATGCAGAGCATAAATCGAATTCGTTACAAGTAGAACATCTATACCGTTGACCAATGAGTGGCCGCATCTTACATCCATCGCAGAATACTCCTTGCCATACATATTTATCAGGAGATACAGGCAGATCGTTTTCATCTTGTGACCAGAATCGTATAGCTTCCACTCCTTTTTCTACGATATCACTTCGACCATCAACAGGAAAGATTGCTCCATTAGGTAAGAGGACAATTAGTGTTGGAATGCCTTCCACATAGAATTTGTCTTTAAGTTTTCTGGCACGATCTCGATCTGAAACAATAATATTCAACAAATGAATACAATAAAGTTAAATTCTGACTTATTCTTGGTGAGATGAAATTGTACACAGAATCTCGAAATTCAAGATTCAGACCTACAATTTGACCTGAGATCGAAGACTCTCGCTTTCACAACATTTCTACTCACAAGATTATCAACTCCATGCTCGACAAACTATAAAAGAACCCCAACATTTAGCTTCATAAGAGCCTTCAGATCATATTGCTAGGCTAAGTAACTTTCCAACTATTAGTTCGACCTGGTCCGGCTCAGGTTGTGAGTGAGGATTTTTCTAAACTATTTTTAAAGTTTAGAAAAAAATTTACTCAGCTTGTCTGGAAATCGTCAGTTTTTGATATAATTTTTCCGACTCTTTATTTCTTAAATCATATACAATTTAGCTGTACTCTCCATTATTCATCAATATGTTATTGATGAGAACATAACGATACCTGAATAAGGAATGGCTTTCCATGGCATAGTTTGAAAATATTCCTTGAAAGATTGTTCATCTGTGTCTGATGACACAAACACAATATCAAATCGATCATGTAATTCAGATTGAGCTTTTGTGTAACATTCAGCCAATTTTGGAGTGAAATTTCGGCAAGGTCCACACCAATGACCCCTCAAAAAGTAATTTCATTAAAATATAGTTAATTTTTAATATGTCCTTACGAAAAATAAATTCCCACGACCTTGTTCTCGAGTTCACTGGTTGGTACTTGTCGATAGACTTCACTTTTTCGATCAGTATCGACTGCAATTAAATTGTCTCCGAACAGATCACTAAATTTCGTCGCCATTTGGTAAATGTGTTAGGTAAGGAGAAAAACACAAACTGATGGCAAATTGTATAGTGTGGTTTATATAGGCACAAACAGCGAGCTGCTTACAGTCGCTTATTCACCATGAAACACACACTTTTTCTTTCTTTCAACTGTAGATGCATAATGTTGACTTGTGAAAAATTACAAGGATCTCTTGCAATTATTTTTCCAGTGTGCCTTTCTTTTGCTTGCAAGCAATAGTTACAAAGCGTATGACCTAGATTATAATTGTATCGATATTAATCATAATGCAAGCATATATACCGCTCTTTTTGCTTTACTCAATAAGAAGAAACGTTGACTTAATAGGCAAAGAAACAGAGTGCCACATTTATATGAAAATTATTTTTTTTGGGGAGGAGGGGGAGAGGTATCACACCTTTCCAATTACTGGTCATTATTCATAAACGATCGTTTTTCATTCACCTGAGTTGATGTGGTGTTAGAACAGATGCGTGTAAATGCTCGCACACAGAACGCAGCTTCTCATTTGCAAACATAAGTCGAATTTCACGACCTGTTTATTTTAGTTTCAATAATTTTTTTAAAGTTGAAATTAATTTAAAAAGTGAATTTCAAGAGTGAAACAAATAAGAGAATCTTCATTTCAATTTGTTATATTTGTTTGAAGTCTACAATCAATTCAACTCGATTCTGTTCGTGTCTCTGCCTCTTACTCAAATGCTGTCGAGTGTCATAGAAAAAAATAATTATTCTAGATTCTCTTTTTTTTTTTTCGTTAAAGAACTGTTAGGAATCTAGTTGAGATTGACATAGGATTTTTATAATTTTCTAGTGAGAAATATCGTTAATGTATTGAAATAGTTTATTATAATAAGAACATGACGACATTGAATGGTTAATTACATTTGATTGAAGAAGAGTTTTGTTTTTCTCATAATGGAAACCTTCAATGTTTAGATTCAAAAACTAAAATGCATGAGTATTTTCAAAAACATACAATAAATCATGCTAAATCAAGTGATTATGTTATATCCTAATAATACTACAATTTGAATACAAACCTAAACAGCGATTACTGCATGAATCATATGATCAATATAATAGAGCCAGATGCATGAACTTTCTCTCGATAGTCAAATCCTTCGAAAACCACCGCTTAAGCACAGTTCTTCTACTTAATTGTTTTCTGTCTGAGTGCATGAATATTTTTAAACTATTAGAAAAATGTTAAATTTCAGTCGAAATCGCGTCTCTTTCCTAACATCAGTATGTTCAAGCCGTCTATACTAGCAACATTGACTGTCTTCGCTTGATTTTGAAGTTTAATTATTTATCAAAGTAGTAGAGTACGCTGATGCTGTAGAAAAAAAAAATCATTATTTCAGGAACGGTAAGTTTCCAGCTATGCTGTATTTTACCAAAATTTCAGTTCTAACGAAGAAAGAAATTTCGCCGAAATACACGAAAAACGTTTCGGTAAGACTTTTTCCTTACGAATGCGAAAGTTTCAGCTGAGTGCTGCGTATGTAGAAACAGTTCGTTTTCAAAACATTGCTTTGTTATATGACAATCGTCGACGAAACGAAAAATTTTGTTATAATACATGTGAATGTTTCATATGCAGTACACAATCTCAAACATTTTGAGAATAGGAGATGAGAAGAAAGTAAAAAAGATTGAATGAATACCATTGAAAATAATTGATACTCTGTTTATTCTTCTTAGATTCAAGTCTCTTCCAGAATCATTATACTTTCATTACAAAATAATGGTAATATAGTATATTGTTTCTATTTTATTAGGATGGAGTCCGTATCGACCCCAGATGGTTAACAAGTAGTAGTCCGAAAGGTGAGCGTGTTAGAATTGAATAAATAAGTTTCTAATGCAAAGCAGAGAGGATTCATTGGTCTCTCTAATTCCCAAGAACAATTTTCCAATCACTTGTAGTTCAAGTTTTTAAATGACTCAAAAAAAAAGATCAATTTCTTTTTGAACCCAATACGGTCAAAAGAAAACAAAATCAAAAACATCATTGAATTGAACACAAGATGTAGAAAAGTGCTTCAATTCTTTTTTTCTTTGTACCTCAATATGATAATAAAAATCTATTCAAATATTCTTCGTGTTTTGTTCGATATAAATAATGTTCCTGATATTTTATTATTTTCTCTATGATGCATTATTTTTATTAAAATCTAAACTAACATCAACATGTCAATAATGATCGATATTCATAGTATTTAACATTGATGCAGCAATCTAATAAAATCTTCAATCTCAAACAAATAAAACCGGACTTGCTATGACAATAGACATTTTGTACTATCAACATTTAACTTTATCTCGAAAATTTGCATTAACTTTTGTTCCACCACCAGGACAATAAATATCATTATCGCTTGACCATCCAAAGCCTTCGTAAGATAAGGTGGATGTTCCACTGATCGATATTAATGCTAAGGGAACATCAAACTAAGTCGTATATTTAAGACTATTCTTTTTTAAACAGCAACTACATTTTTGTCAAAGATCTATTTCAACATAATCATCATCTATACGAGCTTTTTCTAGTTGTTCAGCAAGATCATATAATTCTTTTGATACTGTCGAGTAATAGATATATCAATAATAACAAAAACTAATCAATGTTTTGACTTGTATTCTTGCTTCTTCTGCTGTTTGTTGAATTTTCCTAATTGAAACTTTTCTCCATTCATCAATTTGTTTCAGAACAGGAAGATCATTTGTTTGTCTTCATTTTGAACAATAATTTATTGTAAAATATTATATTTCTGAGCAATTTCATCCAATTGATGACTAAGAAAAGCTCGATGTTCATTAAGATGTTTTCGATAAAATACTTGTAAGCATCCTTCACATCGAGATATACCTTCACTTTTATTACTACATACGGTATAAGATGGTTTTAATGATATAGATAAAGATGTCATGAAAGTTTTTACTTTATTATGAAAAAAAAAGAAATAAAGTAACAGTTTACTTTTCTTTTCAACACATAAATTGCAACAGAAAGAAATTAAAATAACACAAAAATAATCCAAGATTTGTGATATTATTTTATTTGTGTATCGTCTTAGTCAGATAATAGTTTTAAAAAAATAATGATGGTCGAAACAAAGAGAAAGAAATCAAACAGAATCTCCAACATTATACATATGCAATAGGAATCTTTTCTCCTTGGTTACTGTGTTTTTACTAATAAATAATCTTATTTGATATTGAGCTGATGAACGTTTTTGAGTATCACTAATGTAAGGAAGAACTACAGGCTATAACAATATACTTTTTAGGTAGTAACGTTAATCTTCACTTTACTTCGTGTCTTTTCATATGACTGTCCACACCTTCTTCTCATCTTGTCTGTCTTTTGTTTTTTATTTTGGCAGTATTTGTTATATGTGAATGTATCTATGCGTTATTATCTCTTGGAAGTAGGAAAACAAACAAATAATATGAAGAAAGGTTCATTGACATAGGTTAACATTAATGATTATTATCATATTGAATTAAATCCGAATAATTAATAAGTGTTTCATGTCAAGTTGATTATTGATTAATTTTCGAAAAAAAAATATTTTTACAAATCATTTTTTTATTTTTATCTTTATAAGGAATAATTCATAGTGATTGAGTTTCGAAATCATAATTAAATTATCTTTCTATTTGGTGAAAATTGCTCTTATGTGTTCTAGATCGTAGAATAATTTATAAATAGAAATATTAATAGATAGTCATACAATGAATGAATATATATGATATCACAAAATAAATAAAAAACTAATAACACGAACATTAACATCACTTTCGAGTTTTCATACCTAAGATGTTTAAAATATCTTTTTAAATTAATATATTCAATAATGTGGTAGGTCGGGTATGTTCACCATACATAGCTGTGAACACATTACATATCGTCACTATCAATTTTATGTGAGATTTTTTTAAGAAAGGTCTTAGCGCAATTTCTGCGGAATTAACATGTGGAATATGATGTAGTTGCTATTGCTAATCATAAGAAGATTGTTTTATTCTATTTATTTTGGTAGACATTTCTTCGCTGTTGCTTTACTTAATTATTAAAAAATGCGATGAGAAAGTAGTTCATATATGATAACGAGACGTTATTGATATACGGTATGTAGTCGCATTTTAATAATATCTGTCACATCTATATGTGGAAGGGGAGATGTTGAAATTTCTACTCCTATATTTTAACACTCCTTTGAGATTGTTTTTCACAGAAACTCAAATACTTATAATTTGAAGCGGTATTGTATATCAAAATCGTATCTTCATCATAAACGAGCGTTGCGAAACAAATACGATGCGTTCATAATCATTTCATAAATGATGGTGATGCAGAGTACCAAATTGTCTTTTCATTCATTTTTAGTTACTATTCATATTTCAAAACTTAGATAATTGAAATATTTGTCATTGCTTATTTATTCCATAGCTCTACTCAACAAGACAAGAAAGAAGAAAAAGTGATTCGTTTTGATAAAATATCATATGACTCTCTTGTTTATTTGATACGTTGCAAAAAAATTGAATTGATTAATAGAAGACCTATGAACATTAAAAAAAACCTTAATCAACTGTATAAGAAATCTATGAGATTGATATAAGTCGAGACAAATGACTTGTAAGATAATATTTCGTATTACGTCTCAATTATTTAACTAAAACAGTTCGGTTTCTATCGTCTTTAACGAAAAGTAAAATTCTTTTCAATTCTTTTGACTAAAGTATTTTTTTTACATTATATCTAAAGTTGAGAATGCATTAAAAAGTTTTAACTGAATTATTGATAAACCTCAAAATGATGATTTTTTCCTTCACAAGTTTGTTCTCTTTCGAACTTTATTTATTTTTCTCCATTCGAATTCAATTTTTTTTGGCGTTCTTTCGTTAAAAACATATTAATTAGAAGACAACGACATATATAAAACAAATTTACTATCCAAGGTTTTACTTCATATGTATTTATAACAAAGTTAATGCAATAAGAAAAACATTTAAGGCAATTTTGAGGCTGTGGATGTGGGTATGCGCTGCGGATTAGCTTACATCGACTCAACAATAAGATTTCTCTTTGAATTCCTCTTAGTTAAAAAGTAGACAAGAAAACAATAGAGAAAGAAACTTGTGTATGTTATAGCTTGTGAAAAAGTCTTCTTCTTTCTTTATGAAACAGAGTCAACAATATATTCAAAAGTCGAGTAACAGAAAGATAAAGCAAGTGATATCTTTCTTCTTTTTCTTCGTTGTATAATACTGTTTTTCTCTCACTAAAAAATTTGAAGAGACAACATTTTGTTAATGTTAGATTTGGACAATGAGGGAAATACCCAAAGACTCCACGAATTCTGCATGGCAAGTCGAACAATCACCATTTTCCGATTATGTTTCAAGTGAATTTTCTAAAAAATCGAACATTGTCATTACCGGCACTGGATTCACTGGAATTGCCATTGCTTACCATGTTTTAAACTCTTCTTCTACATCACGTGTAACGTTGTTGGAAGCGAGACAAGTATGTTCCGGCGCAACGGGCAGAAACGGCAGACTTTTGACACCTAATATTTATTCTACCACACTCTCGCTATTATCTAACGGATTTTTGCCTTCTCAAGTTGTTCAATATGCACAATTTGAAATAGAAAATGACGAGGCAATCCGTGCAGATTATTAAGGAAGAAGAACTAGACTGTGAATTTGTTCATAAAGAATATTATAAGGTTGCTTTCTGTACAAATCAAATTCGAAGATCTAAAGAGGAATGTAGAAATGATGAGAAATATAGAAGGGCCAGTCTCTCAAGTTCGAATCTATCAAAATCCAGAAGCTTCAAATATGGTTGGAATGAGATATGAAGGACTCATCGTCCATACATATTGCGGATCTATACATTCTTATAAAATGATGACTGGTCTTTTGTCCAATTTATTCAAAAAGTTTGGAGATAGAATTAAATTGTTTACTTATACGCCAGTTGAAAAAGTCGAAAATAATATGATACATACGAATCGAGGAACTATCATTGCTGAAAAGATTGTCTATACAACAAATGGCTACACCTTCCTCTTACTTCTTCAAATGAAAGATGTTATCATTCCGGTTCGTGGGCAAATCATTCAATCGAGTACAATTGATAGATTTATTCCAAATAGTTCATTCAACTATGACGGAGAATATCTCTCTCAAAGACCTACCAATAAATTAATTATTGGAGGTGCCCGTCACTTCTCTCCTACTGCAGAAATCAACACAATAGACGACTCCATTATAAACGAAAAAGTGAGCGTCGAATTACAAAAGTTTTGCGAAAAGTTGGGTGGTGAAAGAAGTTGATAGAGCAGTTATTTGTGCAGGATTCAATGGACATGGAATGACTTGCATCTTCCTATCTGCAAAAGAAGTAGTAAGACTCGTTCTTCAATAGGATGAACCACAAATTACACCATTTGGATTTGATCAAGTGCGATCAGTAACGCCTGATGATATCAGAAGTTGTAATCCTCTTCAATGATTTATTGTATCCATAGGGTGTGGGTCTTTCCTTCACTCACACCCGTATTAGAAGGTTAAGTATTTGGAAGACTATTTTTCTTTTTCGCAATAGAAACTTTCTAAAGTCAAGATATTTTTGTTATGCTAATTATGGTGGGACATGACACCCACATATAATCTGCTCATTTTGAGTATTGGAGACACTATCTGTGGAAGTCAAAAGGGATATTTTTTTCTTTCAGTTTTTGTAGACTTTTTCACGACGCATCTTTTTGGTATATCCGGTATATATATATATATACTGTTAATCTTCTGTAACATTGATAGAGTTTATATATTATGATGGTCTTTATCGATAAAATTATATACTTTCATGTATTTTTATTCAGATATGAATGTATAGGATAGAAAAAAAAACATATTGATTTGTTTTTCGTTAGGTTTACACGTTGTTTATTGCTCAAGGTAAGTATGTTATAAAGCATTTCGTTCTATTTTTACACGATACAGTACGATGGTAAATAAATAACGTATGGTAAAAAACAAATCAAGAAATAGAGCAAAGAATCACTAAACCTGTTATTGAGAGTCGATGAAAAATTCAAGATAGTTTCGGGAGTCTTTTCTTTTTTGAATATTTTTCATAAATAATTACCTTAAAATAGAATATATGAATTTTATTTTAACGTTTCATTTTCTAACTATATTAAAATATGAAAGTAAAAAAAAAAAAGAATGACATGAATAAATATTTATATATTGTACTTTGGAAAATTGTTTTTTTACTTCTGTTTTATAATAAACGATTTATTAAAATGATATGATATTTAGTTTGGTTTTTTTTCAGTGAGTTTAGAGATAGAATTAGTTTTGTTTCGAACTTTGATATGATTTTGATTATTTCCATGGTGGATTTTGACATTGTGATGGATTACTTATATTAGCCATAAATTTCATAAATTCATCAAATGATGCCATTCCATCACGATTAAAATCGATCTTTGACATAACTTGATGAATTTCAGCATCTGGACGTGGCATATTGGCTCGATGAAGAGCTTCTTTCATTTCATCGAATGTAATAAAACCATTGCCATTTATATCGAATTCCATAAATGCCTTTGTGAGTTCAATAACTTGAGTAGGTTGTAGTCTACCAATAACACTATCACTAGCCATGTTTCGTTTGGTTAGTCTGTCTTTTTTTTACGTTAGCTGTAATGATAAATATTTCACTCTTGAATAATGTTAATACGGTAGCTTTTTATTTTATTGCTTGTGAAGTCAAGCATAACGATACACGTGGCTGACTCTTCATAGATAGAAAATAATAAGCATATGCAAACACAATTAGCTGGTTAATGAGAAATAATAATAGTTGTATACATGAGCACGTAGCTAATGTATTTTTCGCATCATGTTTTTCAGGCATTAAAAAAAATATTTGAATCAAGGACGTTGTCGAATGGTTCTAAAAATGAAAAATAAAAATTATATTGATAGATTAATCATTTGTTGTTTTTGACTCTAATGAAATTTTGCTTTTATAGAATTTAATAATTAAAGTAACTTGATTTTTTATATTCTCATTTATTTCTTCATCGCATATAATCGATGAAAGGTACTTGTTATTCATTTATAGTAATAAGATATGTGCTAGATTGAAACTCTGAGAGAAAAACATGTCATTTAAACAGAAAATTAAGATTTTAATTAATTATTCTATTGTTTGAAATGAATTATTATATTAATTAGGACATATATAATTCAAATGGAATGAACCAATCAATATAGACCAGTGGCTAATTAAATCAAAAGATAACTGTTGAAAAGTTATTTATATGTGATACAACTGTATTTTAAAATAGATTCTTTTTCGAGATAGAGACTAGGCCTTGAATAAATAAAATTATTAGAACTGCAACCCGGTTAGATTTATTGAGATTAGGAAATAAAAAGAACTTGATCTTATACATGTCGTATGACGAAACATTCTTTGCTAATGTGAATATTTTTCTCTTTCGACATTTTTCGTGTTACGCTGTATTATTCAACGAATGATTCATTTAAATAATGTTTCTTTATTAAAAGCCATTATTTAAATTCTCTTTGGAAGTTTTTACTATTCTATATATTTATGTTTGATATTAGTTTTGTATATATTCGATGAGTTATCAATAACAGTATTTATTCTTGTCTTATGTAGACTTGAATAAAAAAGAAAATTGTTATTGATCTTTAAAACGCAGTTATTCATCTACCTGAATTAGTTATTTCTATTTATGTATTATGTATATTGATTGTTTGACTAGTAAAAATTGAATTGAACAAACGAAGATAACAATAAGAATATTTCAAGTCATAGAAATATAAGGATTGAATGAGAATTGAGTTGAACAGAAATATGTGCTTGATGCATCCGTTTTATTTATACTTCATAACAGAATCGACAGGCAAAAGCAAATAATTAATTCTTAGGTCTCTACTTCCATCGCTTTTAAATCTATAAAATGGAAAAAATTAATATTTTGTAAAATACGATTAGATAATAAGTACTAAATGTATGTAGAGAGAAAGTTAGAATACTTATAGACCCTCAAAGATATATCGCTATTTGGTACCGTGAGAATCATTTTCGAGTTTTTTATTTGAAATTTAATTGAACAAGAATATGTAATTATATTGCAAATCAAAAACTAAAACCTTAGATTCATTTTTTCGCTTTCCATACAGGTTATAACAGACAGAGAGTATGTGAATAAATTTGACTCAAAAGAATTGTATGATTGATATCAATTTGCGAATGTCATAAATCTATCATTTTTCACATATTAATTCTATTGCGATTACGGTAAGAGCCTTTATTTTTTTCAACATAATTTTCTTTGTCAATGTCAAGACATCCATCATTGAGTATATAGTATCGTTCGTGGTCCTGATCAATGTTTTGAATGAAAACAGATCAATCTTCAGATCTGAAGACTGAAAGGGATAACGAACCTTGGTCACCTATATCTCATGCTGACAGTAACGAAATATGTTGATCACGCAGCTTATTATACATATATCGATATTCTCATATTGTTTATCCTAATTAAACAGAAGAAAAACCATTTAAAAAGAAAAATAAGACTTCATTCTTCATCATGAAGAGAGAAGAAGAGAAAAGTAGAAAAAGTAATACTAGAATTTAAAAAATTCAAGCTACTTTAGATTACAGAAAACCAATTGAAACTTGGAACGAGAAAAAACTTATTCGCAACGATCGTAACAAATGCCAGAGTAAAACGAGCCTCGAAGATAATAGGGCGAGCACATCTTTCATGATGTATTTTAGATCCTATCACAAGTAGTGAGATTTTTGACCAAAGAAGAAACGAATAAAATGATTTATCAGGTTAGAACGATGATGCATTACTTCTTGCATACATATGTACCACTGTGAGTTAGTGTTATAACTAAACAAACAACCATCTATATCGAAACAAAAAGCTTGCAGAGAAGTCTTCTGCTAATATTTTTTTCACTGAATCGATAAGCTCAATATTGTGAAAAGAAGAAAACAGTTGCGTCACACGAAGAATAACAAGGAAAGCATTCCAACTGATTTCGAGTTTTCGACTGCATACTTTGCCTATGAATAGATCTCAGTGAGACTAAGAGAATCTTAGGAGCGTTCGTGACTATCGGGTTCCAATCTAAAGTTATAGTAGTTTTACTTAAATTTTAGGTTATGACACGGTACTCACAGCAAAATCATACACATCCATACCCACACCCTTTATGCCAGTGTGTGGGTTTGGAAAAACCTTGATTAGACACTTCTCACATCCACGCCCTAAAAATCTATTGCCATTTCATATGATTATGAATTAAAAATTCATGAATGAATATCACCTGACCAATAAGTTTTGTAAAAAGCTTGAAAATTTCAAAATGGATACTAAAGTCTAATTTGCCTGTATCTGCTGAAAACTTTTATCAAAATCAATTTGCGAAATGTTTCCTTCAATAAAAAAAAAGAATGAATTATAGTGCACCAATGATTTTGCTAAGCTAGCTGAAACAGTTCAGAAATTTTCATTCGATTATGACTACTGTTTTTCGTTTATATTTTCGTATTTCATCATGTTGCTATTTTGAACATGTGACATTCTCTATGAAATAGACAATTGAATTTTCCAAAAATTCTCTGTTCATTTTAAGTTTGTTTTATTTTTTGAAATTAAAATGCTTTGAAGATGAAAACTGATGTCATACTTAACTTCGCATCGCTAACCAATCATGTCATCAAACATTTATATAAGATAAATAAATAAATATTAAATTTTATTCTTCAATAATAGCTGATTAATATCTCAATAAAGAAATAGGTTTAACAACATTCATTATTATCTTCTTAAATTAATATATTCTCATGAAAAATTTTTGGTAAAGCGATAAAAATCTAAAGTTCTCAAAATACTAAAACAAATTGAGTAGCAGATTTTAAAGATAAGAACTTATTTCATAAAGACTGTCGACTCGTCAAATTTGAAGGAAATAGATGAAGTTCTAAATAATATCTGTTTTATGTTTTTAATATCAATCAAGTAGCTTCTGAAGAGGAAGAAATATATCGCTTTTTGTGTACGAAAAAATAGAAACAAAGAAGTCATATATTTCTACATTCAAAAATATCTCCAACTTTTCTGTTGAATAATAGATAATTTGTTTAATTTTTCTACGGAATGAGTCTACTTACCCACAAATAAACAACATTAACAATGAAATGATTTGTTGTTTCTTCAATAAACAAATTAGAGGTCATCAAGAATACAGATAATAGAATATGAAAAAATCCTCAGTTTTGCAATAAATTTATTTAGTTTTTCATATCTGAGATATTTTCTATATTAACTTACTTCTCGTATGTTTAGTTTTTTTTCTTCAAATACGAATAATCTTCATTTTTAATCATATTTTCATAAGTATTATTCGTGCAATAATTTATTGATTTAAAATTTAATTTTAATTTCAACATTATAATTGAACTAAAACTTTATATAAGCAAAAATACAGATAGTTAATAGAATTTAAACATTCAACTTTAAATTCAATTGTATTAGTTTTTACAATTCTTTTATATATTCAACATGGTATCGAAATTATCAAAGCATACATAAAAACATCTATTTTTCTGAAATAATATACCACAAAAATTTATCATATGTTTTATACTTCGATACCGCAAATATAAAATAATCATCGAAAATATTTCATCAATATATAAAAAGAAAACATCATATTTATCAATCATTTAATAACCATAAAACGTTCGATACACTATCATACTGTAATTTTAACAAAATATACATCGAAACTATTTCGTTGATAGAGGAGAAAAAAAGCATACTGTCTATAGTTAATTTAACATTAATTATCAACAATCATCAAAAATACATTCCTATTCAATCAATACTATTCGAAATTATTTTCTTGTGAATAATAAAAACACAAGAATAATAAAATATATATTTATTACGTTATTTATTCAATAGTTTAACTTATAAACATGACTATGTATGCTAATATAGAATGTATTCTTGATAATTTTAAAGCAACATATCCTAATGATTCATTTTATGTTTGCAAATATAAAGCACCTGGTGGAACTTCTTTCTATCATGGCAAAAAATTACTTGAAATTCAATTGAAAGATCAAGATTGGTTAACAGTTCATAAATTAGTACGATCATTAGGTACTAATGTCAATGATAATGAAGTTAAACAAAAAGCATTACCAATAATTAATGATACAATTAAAATAACTAATTATGAAACGCGATGTGATCGAATTTGTGATAATTTAAAGATGATCTTTCCTAACCATCATGTTAATGTATTTATTTATGGTAATGATTGGCAATGTGCATATCATAGTAAAGGCAAAGCTAGCTTTAAAAAAGATTATGGTTCGGATGTTTTTATTGTTTTAAGTTGAACAATTTAATCATAATCTTCTATTACTATTCAAGCGTTTTAATCGTGATATTATGAAAAAGTTTCATTTTCAATAAAACTTTAATTATATTTAGTTAGATTTTTCCACTTTTTTTTCCTTTGTTTTTAATTCTATTTGAAAAAATAATATGAAATATTAATCATGATCATTTTTATTTTACTTTGAACATTATTGAACGTATGATATTTGTTTATTGATGAAACTGCAAATGGAAAAATATTCTATAGAAATTCTATAATCGATTGATTCTACTCGTATATCTCCCGATATCATCTTACTAGTTCGAATAGATTTTTATTATTCTATTATTTATAATTCGAAACCTTTGTTTTACAATATACTTTGAATATCGGATATATGGTAATTAGGTTTTTCCAAAAAACAAAATACATATATTAGATAAATTCTTCTGTCTAATTTATATTTGTATATTCGTTTCAAATACAATTTATCGCATCAATCAAAATTCAAGTTGTTTTTTTTGTTAAATATTACAAAACCTTCATTCAAATATCTATGAAAAGATGAAGACTGAAATCTCTCTGAGTAAGATGATATAATTTACAGTTATCCTACAAAAATATGAAAAGAAAAAGCAATAAGGTGTTTGTGCAGTAACTTCTATGAGTACGAACACAATTGACAAAGTTCGCATGTGTACCTCCATTTGTCATTCGATCGAATAGCTTTTGGTATGAAGAGAATAGAAGATATTAGCGTATAACATCCCGGTTATTAAAATGACGATATTCTCGAATATTCTATGCTACAAATTTTGATATGTTGAAATGAATTACAATATTCTCAATAGATTAGTATGAAAATTGTTGAATGTCTGATGGAAATAAAACTATATAGAGAGAATATTCTGCTAGCATTAAAATTCTAAAAAGAACTTAATTTCATATTCGAAAAAGTTTTCAGCTGAAGCATATTTTGCTTCACTCTTAAAAAAAGAGCTTTTTATGAGTACTGAATTTTTATTATAAATTATCTAGTATAGAATCAATACATCAAATTAAACTTCAGTTTCATCTGTTCAGAAAAAAGAAGAATGCCAACAGATTTATTAAGTATTTATTTTTCGCCAAGTCTTTGATGCATTTATATTCTGCATGTAAAATAAACATGCCTCGTAAGTATTTAGACTATACAAAAACCATACGGTATCCTACAAGTTATCTCCTTTTCAATCATACTCAATTTGTTCATATTACAATTGATGTTATTACAAACAATTATATAATCAATAGTCTTAAAGCAGTATAGTCTGATGATTTATTTCATGCTTGTATAAATATACACAGTATCTGATGGAACTGTTTGATTTTATGTTAAACAATTATTACTTAATTAATTGCAAGATGAGGGTGTGGGTGTGCAGTGTCGATTCTCTCTTTATTAACAAACAGACCTACACCCACAGCCTTGATATTCTCTTTTTTATATATTTTCATAAATTTCCACATTAATTCCACCTCAAATTACACCAAAATGTAGCTCAAATCACCCATTTTTCGCTATAAGAAAAATGGGTGATTTGAGCTACATTTTAATGTAATTTGAGATGGAATTAATGTGAAAATTTATGAAAATATACAAAGAAAAAGAATGCCAATTGAAAAGTTTCTATGAAAAAGCATCTTTCGTCTTAGTGAATATTATATGGATCGATGTTCCGGACATCACTCTTTCGAATGGTGAAAGCTGCAGGTCTATATCTTGTTCCTATCAGAAGTTATTCGCAATACAAGAGTGTCAGATGACATATAGATCACCCTGTACAAAAAAAGATACTTTTCCATTCTTAAATTGTGCTCATTAGATGCAGGACATTTAAATCCACACAGACAACGTAAAAAATGAAAATTTTGGGTCGAGAAAGGGGAACGTTTCCTAAATGAAAAATTAATTACCATATATTTGGTACGCATAGATTTGACGGAGACAAAATGTCGAAAATGATATTAATGTAATTCGAATAGATTATGCGCATAGTATAACGATGATGAAGGTAACAAAGCTCAAATAAATGCATTTTCAATAATTTTCACTTCAACCTTTTTTTATTATAATTGTTTTTTTCTTCGACCTTTTTTCTTTCCGCTACATTAATATCAACCTTTTGATTATTTAACTATTATTGCTACAATCATTCGAAAAGTAAATTTGTTTTACTTGATTGTAGCAAATAATAAGAAATACAAAAATCACAACAGAAACCATCACCGGAATTAATCAACATATTAATAAAATTCTAATGACATCTCAAGATGAAATTCATCATCATCATCATCAACAACATAAAAATATTCAATATACGAAATCAACTTTTGCTATTCTACTAGCTGCCTTTTCTTCATTGGCTGGATGGTTTTTTGGATATGATCAAGGTGTTACTGGTGGTATTATTGTCATGAGTTCATTTAAAAATGACTTTTGTATTGGTGTTTACGCCAATGCAAGTGTTTGCGGTCTTCCAGTAGCTGCTTTGCCTGCCAATTACAGACGATTTATAGTACTCTTTACGTTATTGTATTATTTTGGATGTTTTATTGGTGCTATATTAATTTCTTCATTTGTGGCCGAAAAATATGGACGTCGAGCCATTATTTTCACTTCAGAAGTTCTATTTTCAATTGGTACTTCAATTGTTATTTTTCTACCAGGTGGTTCTAAAAAGATAATGATTTTGATACTTATTGGACGGATTATTGAAGGAACAGGTGTTGGATGTTCTTCATTTTCCTGTCCACTATATGCTTCCGAAATAGCTCCAACAAATCTACGTGGAATGCTTTCCGGTTTTATGCAAATGACCGTAGTAGCTGGTTTATTTGCTGCTAATGTGGTAAATTTTTTAATACAAAATCATAAATGGGGTTGGCGATTGTCAAATGGAATTATTCTAATCGCTCCAATTACAATTATGATCGGTATATTTTTCTGTCCTGAAACTCCTCGATGGTTATTCAAGAACAAGAGTCGTGAATCGGCAGAGAAAAGTTTACAGCGTATTCGTCAAACAGAGAATGTTACTGCTGAATTAGATGCTATTGCAAATGCTATAGAAGAAGAAGGTAATCAACGTTCGATCACAGAGTTATTTACAACAAAGAAAATGCTTCAAAGACTTGGTATAGGAATGGTTGTACAAATTTTAGCACAGACAACTGGTATTGATGTTGTATTTACATTTGGCGGTATTATATATGAAAGCGTTCTTGGAAAGGGCATCGTATCATTATTGATTTTGTCTGGGGCAAACATGCTTAGTACTATACCAGCTTTATTCTTGTTTGATCGACTCGGACGTCGAAAACTTCTCATAGTTGGCGCCGTAGGCATGGTAGTTGGCCATTTTGTTACAGCCACACTATTTGCTACAGGTTGTGACGTTATCAAAACTAGCATCAATGACACTATAGTAAATGAACAAATTATCAGTTGTCTATCAAGTTCTGGTATATCAATGCTTGTTTTTACAGTTATTTTTGTATGTTTTTTTGCAATTTCTTGGGGACCAGTCTCTTGGATTTACACAGCTGAGATTTTTCCTCTCAATATTAGAGCTAGAGCTGTTTCAATAACAACCGGAAGTTGTTGGTTTACTGGTATCATGATATCATACGCACTGGAATTAATAACTCCACTAGGAATACATGGAGTATTTTATCTTTTCAGTAGCCTATGTTTATTGGCTGCAATATTCGTATATTTTTTTTGTCCAGAAACGAAAGGAGTTTTACTGGAAGATATTGAAAGAGAGTTTGATAATTTTCACTGGAAAAATAGAATAATAATACAAGTCTTGCGAACATTATGTCAGAGGATATATAAAAAGAACGGCTGAAAACCAATATTGTTCCGATGTGATAATAATGCACTAGGCTGGAAATAATATTATTCCAGGGAGTAGCACTATGATTTGAAATAAGATAAACAATGAATTTTATACGAAGTGAAAGCCCATCAAAGATGGGATTTAAAAGTATAACTGGTCATTCATAAGATGACAATCAGTTATAGAATTACTGGATGTTCCAAAATTTTATACATGTACAGAGGGACTCAAAAGTCGCTTTACTGAAAACAAAAAAATTGAATATTTCCACTATGGCTCGAGCAAATGAGCTGACTTTTTATCAAATGCCTAGATAGACCCTTTGTTAAGCATATTGGTTTTTTTCTATCTGTGGAAAAGTAAAAATCTTTTTTATTGAGATCAATAGTGATACTTAACAAAGGATCTCTCTAGACATTTGATAAAAAGTCAGCTCATTTGCTCGAGCCCTAGTGGAGATATTGAATTTTTTTCCAGTAAAGTGACTTTTGAGTCACCCTGTACATGTATAAAATTTTGAAACATTCAGTAATTCTATAACCGATTCTCATCTTATGAATGACCAATTTTACTCTTAAACCCCATCTTTAATGGGTTTTCATTTCGTATAAAGTTCATTATTTAATTCTATTTCAAATCATAGTGCTGCACTCTGGAATAATATTATTTCCAACCTAGTATTGCCCATTTCAAGATATTATGTGCTTCCTTACTTTCAATTATATTTTCATCGAAACATCAAGCTACTTTGATAAAAAGATATCATTATCAATTTCAATACGAGCTGAGATATGAGAATTTATATCGATTTATTAAACTTTTATTTCTTGAATATATTTAACATAAATGTCTATTGTGACTTTTGTAAATTTTTCAATAGAAATAATCAATCACAACCGGGTCACCAAGTCGTCTTCCTTGATCAATAGCCAAATTGACAAAGAGAATATCGGAAGATAATGATGTGGAATTTTCTCCTTCTAACGTTTGATTTTCTTCACTTTTATACAGACTTGCACCATAACCATCATGCATATGACCGAAGAGATGAATGCGAGGTTTGACTCTTGTGACAACTTCGTGTAGTAAACCTGGACAACCTAAATGTTCAGCACTCTTTGAACAGTGATCTCGAATACTATAAGGAGGACTATGTGTAAGTAATATGTCGATATCTTCTGGAATATGAGCCCATTTATCCGCTCGAATATTTTCAGGTGCATAACTGAAAGCTTCGGCTCGATAGAAAAGACCACGTTTCAGTTGCCACGGGCTGCCGTAGATCCGTACACCCTCAATATCGATAATTTGATCTTGAATATAAGTCATATTACTGAGAATTTCTTGTGTAAGATCTGGTCGTTCAGGATTGATAGATATACAGTGATTGCCACTGATAAATAGTTTATGAGTATGTGGAAGGGTACCAACAAATTTATTGAATTTGAGTAAATCACGAGCGCTTGAATAATATTTGACGGCATCGCCACAATGAACGAACACATCACCACGTGGAATTGTTAATTTATCAATTTGATTGTGAGTATCAGATACACAGACGAAACGTAAACGTTTATGTGAATCGGTACCGATTGAATGAGGATCACGATAGATAACAAATGGATTATCTTCTGTTCCCGCACCTATTCTTTCAGCCAACACTGAATCGACTGTTCCTTCTTCCCAATGTGGTACACGATTTAGATGATGAAGAACAGCACGTGGATGATTTCTGACACGTGGTACGCGTAACCTTCAATAAAGAAAATCATTTTGATGAGTGGACGATTTGGAAAGATTCTATAAAAAAAAGAAAAGAACTTACCCGGGTACCCAATTATATGTCGACAGTTTGAACAAGAACATCTTTGAATTCTTTAAAAAGATGAGTGATATGATAAGTAACAAAATTTATAGGAAGAATATTTTGAAGAAAGAAAAACTTTTTATGACTCATCCTATTACTCAACTGCCGATATTGTGAGAGAAATCAATGAGTTAGTAAGCGCTGACGAACGTGTGGGTGAGTTAGCGTCAATAGAAGTCACTCTATGACGCTAACTCGGTGCACTATTTGTTATTGGTTTTCTTTTCTTCTATTTAATATATCTTATGAATACCGTTTTAAGAGAAATACACCAGTTAAGGGAAAACATGGACGCCATGGATGGTGAGATAGGATTGGCTAAAGATTTTTCAAGTAGAAACCATTACAGTTAGTGATGATTCACATTAAAAACGTTAGAGACTTTTGAATAGTATGAAAATAATTATAATAAAAATTAATGAAAATGATTCAAGGAAAAACAGTAAGAAAATAAGATACCACTGTAGAGGAACGACTCTCTCCTTTATTTCTCATATACAGAACAGGAAAACAAATCTATTGGCGCATCTGTATAACCATTATGTGAGAAAAATAGAAAGTCAAATATAGATGTCATATAAGTATAATTCATTGATGTTGATACTCATAAGAGAAGTAATATATCAAAGCTACTTCAATCTATTAATTAAGAGGATGTTTGAACAATTTTATATAATTCTATGATGAAGAAAAATAAGAAGAATTAAAGAAGAAAGATTCTGTGATAATACATAAAAAAATCTCTCAATTAAAATAAAAAAGATGAATTTTTTAAGAAGACGTCTAGTAATTTCTGTTGAAGATGGGTAAATCATACCCATGTCCTAGAAATCGCTATAAAATTGCCGATTAATCGCGATATATCGAAACAATAATCGTGAGCTGAAATGCGATTAATCGTCGATTTTTAATGATATTTTTAGCGATTATTACGATAAATCGCGATTTATCTTCAATTTTTTTCAATATTATTCTATTGAAAAATAGTCATTGAAAAAAAACGGTTGAAAAGACGTTTCCGTTTTATAGAAAACTTTTTTTAAGAAAAAAGAGTTAAAAAATGAATTTCATATTTTCTGAAAGCCTTTCTTTCCTGTGTTCTTTTCTACACTGCTCCAGAGTTATTTCTATATCTTGATTTGTGTTATCTAATTTTATATTTAGATCTTATCTCTGCTATCTCTTAGATTCGAACTCGATACTCTCAGTTAGAAAGACTAGTGTATTATCCATCAGGCTCTTTTGTCATATTTATCTTAGTTTGAAAACGCTATATAAATTAAATGGAACAGTCAACTAAAAAAAAGTATTTTCAATATTTTTTTCTCTTTATGTTTAACAGACAGACGATTATGATCATGAATATTAATTTACCTTTATTACTCACTTAAAATAAAGGATAAATGTAAAAATAAAATATTTATGTTTATGAAATAAAGATAAATAAATGAAATCCTTATTTCAAAAGCTGAAGACAAATGAAGTCCATCTTTAAAAAAATAAAGAAAATGGCACTGTTAAATAAAGCAGAGCGGATATATTTCGTTTATGACAAAATACATAGTAAATAGAAATTATTGAGATCATAAAACTATTAACTAAAGATAATTCACAAGCATGTCTTATATTTCATGCTCTTCTACGTACTTTCTCATTAAAATTATTTTTTCTTTTCCTTTATCTAATTTAATCTTTTCTCGTATTTTGCGAAAAATAAATTATTTATTTAGGTTTATTTTTAGAAATTGATTTTTGAATCGACAAAAAAGCATTTGGGAATTCTCAGAACGATATAAAACGCATTTTTTCTTTCTAATCATGAGTTTGGATCGTTTGAAACGGGTTCATCAATTCGAAGAATTCATTCTTAGGGTTTTTCTCTAGAAAACATCAAAGGATATCAGTGAGCTTAATGATATATAATCAGAAAATGCATAGATTCTAATTTTTTCCCCTACAAGTTGATAATGTTCTCTGACTATTGTGCCCTATTTGAAGCCATGTAGTGCACTTCTGAGAAAAAAATATTATTTTAAAAAGTAGACATAATATTTTTTGCTTGAAAATATATTTTCTATTGGTGTTACGATTTTTTATAGTCTTCTAATCACAGACGGTTCTTGCAATTGATACCAATATTGTCGAGAAAAAAAGAAAATATCGATTAATCGAGCTTCTTTTCCAAATCACGATAAAATCTGATTTTATCTCCGATTTTTTGACATATTTCGATTAATCGTGATTTTACGTTCATTTTTCAATAAATCACCAAAGTCGCGGCGATTTTCACGACATGGGTATAAAAGACTGATGTTTTTATTGCACTTTTCTAAAAAAAATCATCAGTATACAATTGTAAATTAAAGTGAAGCAGAATGGATATTAATATTGAAGACCTTGATAATTTGAATACAAGAAAAATTCATGAGTGAACTACTGACTTCAGAGTAGCCTTCGACATTTTGACTCCATTCATGTAATACAGAGTAGTATGAGACGCCTTCTATTTATTAAACTGTTGAGCATGCGAAGTTTATTAAAGATAATAATTGATTGATTCTAGTATTAAACTTTGAAATAGAATAATGTTTTCACAAACTTCTCTCTCTGATACCAGTCGTTGTAAACCAGTTCCATCTCGCTTATTGTTGCCGTACCAAAATTATAATCTTTAAAATCTTCGAGCACTCTTATAAATTCTTCTTTTGCTGTGAAAGATTTTGTGAATCTAACCGCAGTAACATGTGCCGTTTGAATAGAGTATCGCTTATCTATGCTTTGCTGAAGTAATGAAGTTTTAAATGCTGTCCTTAAGTTATTCCGAAGCTCATCAAGAAAAGTTTGTTGAGGAAATCCTTGGATCATAATGCACGATGGTGATGCAGTGATACCCTTAAAACTGATTTCAATATTTTTTTGTGATGATAAACATTTACGGATGAGATCGATATAGTCTTGAACTGCAATCTGGTTTAAGTCAAATCCTTCATAACAAGGGATGATCGACATCACAGTGATATGCATATCGGAAGATGGATAATAATATTGTTCCGGTTCAATTGCGTGTAAAACAGCAAGAAATTTCAGAATTCGATGCTTCACATGTTCATCCGGTCTGATTAAAAGTGTTACGCCAAGTCTTTTGTCAAATGGTGAATCTATCAGATCATCCGTTTCATATTGATCTGATCTGATTTTTTGAATAGCATCAATTATAAAGTTTATTGTAAATGCTGATCAGTTCTGTTGACATTGATTGCCTGTCAATAATAACCACACAATTATGAATCAAATGGCCACTTCGCTTTTTCGAAAAGCCTCTAGGTGAAAAACTAAAAACCAATTTTCATTTTGAGTCATAAGTCGACTTTGGATTTTGTTAACAATAAATATCCCGCAAAGAAAGTCGAATAGTCATAAAGTTTTTTTTTTTATAGACTCAGGACGCCGTCATGTATTCCTGATATAAATGCCGTCAAAATCTGAAAACTTCCTTTTCCTTATATGACACTTTCTCAAAAACTCGTTCTTAGAAACTGTCCAAGCTCTTTGAAAAATACTTCAAAGTATTTTTAGAGGTATATTCTTATATACGCAGGTATATGCACTAATATCTGTAAATTGGAATATCTCAATAGTTAAAATAACAGACTTTCAACTCTGTGATATCGTAGATTGGATCCCGATTTCCAGCTCTCTCATTTTTTTCATTGTTTTTCAAAGGACATATATTGACAATTTTTACGCTTTTCAACTGATCAAACCATGATTATTTAATGATGTAAAAATGATTCTGCGAATCATCGTTTTCAGGTCATTTCTACATCATTAAAAAGTGATGAAATAATAACATTAAAAATTGATCATTGAAATGACAGAAAAATGATCATAAAGTCAAAAAAGAAATGCCTATTTAATTGCTCATTAACAGCTCATAAAAATCATCATTTTCCGTCTCCTTGGCACGAAATGAAATATTGTGCGTCATTTCTCTTCGAACATGTGAAAATGAGGTATGAGAATATGTGCTTTACACTTACCTTTCTATTGATATTCTAATCTATGTGTGAGAAGAGGTGAAGAAGAATAAGAATAGAAAAAGAAAAGATAGATGATATTTGAGGACAAATAGGCTTCTGGCAACAAAAGACAATGAGAAAGAAAAGAAAACTAATCAACAAGAAATCTATAGAACGTAAGAAGAAAATATTTAAAAAACACTCTTCTTTATATATGACACATCAAGTTGGAACGGATTAAATCTTTTCTAACCGAACCGTCTCATTGAAGTATGATAAATCGACAAAAAACTGGCAAAAACGGCGTCAACGGGTCAGTCTAGTCTGGTGTACCAATCCTGTTCCAACTCTGTAGTAATATCGTTAGAAAGCATTCATTTTTTCGCTACCATGTTTTTATGCGAAAGATGGGACACCTTTTGCGAAGTAAGATTGTGCACTATGTTCTTCTTTCTATCGCCAGTAAATACATTCATCTACCACTCTCCTTGTCTCCTATCGGCACACACTCACATAGTGTGCTTGGTGCCTATCTAACACACAACATTAATAGATGCAAGAACTCTCATTCTCAAACGACTACTGCCAAAGAGGGTGGGTGTGGGTGTGTATCTTATCCCTAATCACACCCACATCTACACCCTTCGAAATGTAAAGAGATAATGATAGAGAGCACAACACAAAATAAATAACACACTAAGCAGTGCATTACATGTGAAAATACTCATAAAAAGTATTCAGTTACAATTCTCTTTCCAGCAAAGGTAATTGTCTTGCATATCAGGAGTCGAGGACGGATCGAATATACGTACACAGTTCCAGTTCACTTTTAGTCTACCATAAAAAGACCATATTAGTTCGATGTTCGATTGTATTGGCAGACATAAAGCATTATCATTAAAGCCGCTTGCAGCTGGTTCTGGCGTACGAGTACATTTGAAATCAGTATTACAGCCATAGCCGAAATAATTATGTGTCCACACCAATCCGATATCCTTGTTTGTACACAAGTAATTATCATCCCATGCAGTCACACCTGGTTCGAACATGCGCACACACCACCAGCCATTTATGAATGATGAAAAACTGAAACGAAACTCTAACGGAGACTGCGAGTTGAATGAAACTTGATTTCCGAAGAGCTGAGCAACATAGACATTTCCATCAGAAACTCCTGTAAAATTCATTGATAATCCAAGTACATGGCCGAAATTTATGCAAATGGCTAATATGAGCAGTAAGGGTAAGGTTAACATCTCAATAGTTTTCAAAAAGCAAGGCAATATTTTCATAACGTATTTAAATACCCTATTCTACGACTGATTGCATCATCATGCAAAACAAAGTAATCGATTAGTAATTGATTAAACGAGCATACAGATGGTTATAATAGTATATCGTTTTATTCCGTCTCATATAGTTTGAATCTATTACCTAAAGAAAGTGTAATATTAAGCAAAAAACGTTTTCTATGTGTTTGGTCTTTGCATATGCAAATAAGTGATTAGAGGCTTGATTCACGATGGAATCAAGAACAGAAGAGCTAAAACCATTTTGTCTTCTACAACCGAGGTTCAGTGGAACTTTTAAACGCTTTCTCAATTTCTGTCTTAGAAGTGAAATCTTGAAACCTGTCAATAAAGTCATGAAGGAATACTAAATTGTGGACATCCTCATTTATTCGATAAGCAATACCACTGGGATCTTTTTATGCATCAATTTGAGAGTGGATGTGGGTGCGGATGACGAGAAGATCGGTACCCACATCCACACCCTCATATCAAATTAATCATGTATTTGTTTCAAGTGATTTCGTTTTTTTGAAATTAATTTTGCGTCTTTTCTCATTGACCTTCATTTCTATTTTGATGACATACGATGTCAATAAAATTACATGAGTATCTGAGAGTTCATAGATTTCCTATAGATTGTGAGGCAGATTTTCATTATTAACGTTGGCTTAATCAGATTCACAATTTAAGCAAATGACAAGGCGTCATTACTTCTAGTTTCAGAAAAATACATTTTTGTATGCATAATAATCATAAGAGCAAAATATATGTTCATATCATATCAATTACATGTTCATGAAAACAGAACCGAATACTGACTAACTTAATATTAAAATGATCAGATCAAAAAGTTCTATGAACCTTGACAGTTTCAGAAAAACTAGAGATGGTCGCTACATAGACCTGATGTCATCTCATGGATTTACCAAAATATGACTAAGTAGACATAATTTTTATCGAATTATGTCTGTTTCTTAATATTAGTTTTAGGGTGTCGGTGTGGATGTGAGTGTGTAATAACTCTTCATCCACACTCACACCCACACCCCAAGAAGAATAAATTCATCTGGAAAGAGTTTTCATGTAGACATCAGAAGGATTTCTCTAGCAGACGGGAAAACCTATTAATATTATTTATAGTAAAGCTTTAAATAAAAGTTCTTTTATTTCAATATACTTATTTCATCGCTTATATTTCTATTCCTTGATTGATCGATTGGTACTGTCTTAAACTGGGAAAAGTCTGTCAACTCTACTGTCAATCGTCTACGAGGTGGATGTACATATTCAGTTCTCAAAGAATTCTCTTGCATCCCATCTCCCACCTTTTTTTTCTCTTCGTCACATCCGTGTGCGGAAGCTGTAAATTTGCAGTGGACTTGTACTAACAGAAAGAAAAAATGTTTGTCTCTCTCGATTAGCGGTATAGCCAAGATTTTTAGAGCAATGGGCAAACTTCGCCTGTGTTAGAAAAAAAACCGATGGGCAAAATGGGCAAGTTTTTTACTGATAGGCCAAAACTTTTTTGGCCTAACAAAGTGGCAATAACGTAAAAAAACCACAAAAAAATGGAATGAGGCTCTTTTAATTAAATATGCGCCAAACTCAGATCTTAAGTCTGAGTTAGATGTGTTTTAGTCTATTTTTAACGTCTCTATTTATAATATTTATATCTCAAATTCGAACATCGAAATCCTCACGAACTAGGTCATTTTACATCTTGGTTTTTTCCTGTATGTTTTCACATATACGTATGTCATTGGACTTTTCCTTGCTCTTGTATGCGTCACTCTTTATTTGTATATGTCGAAGTTGACTTTAAAATTTCAAAAGTTAACTAGTTGACTTTTCAATTTCAAAATCAATTATAGATTATTTTAAAATTGAAGGTAACTAAGTAATTAAAAAAAAATAATTTCATTGAAACACGATAGAAAATTACAGACATCAACGTTGATAAAACAAGATGGATGACATCGATTCATTAGAATCTCACTAAGTTCAATGGTCGGAGCCCATCTCTCGGTTGCAATCCAAGAACCCCTGAAAGTCACATGACTAGGGATTTAAGTTTGTTTTTTAATCTCGTCAGATAATGATCCAGACATCAACTATAACTGATGACACTATTGCTTCTACAAATACAGATTCGGTTATCAACAATAAGTAGGTAAAGACCGAACGCAAGAGAAAAACCTATGATCATGACATGTCTTCTGCTTTTGTTAGATGTCTTTATAGTAAAAAAAACGCCAATGGTACTAAGAAATTGATGGCTAACTCCGTCGGTTCTCAGTACGCTTACGGCTTTATCCTTAATTTTATTCTTGCATGTTTATTCATTTTAGTTGTCTTGGTCAATATAAAATTAAAACTTGATCTTTGTAAGAAATCATGGTAGATGCAAGAAAAACAATTCGAGTTTTGAAAGGATGACGTTTTTGAAGTCTACTGAAAATTTTAATTCGTCACTTAAAAATTATTTGTATCTTGTTTAAAATATGATTTTTAATATATATCCCCATGTCACGAAAATCGTCGCGATTTTGCCGATTTTTTAGAAATCGGTGATAAATCGCGATTTTTCTGCTGTGTATCGACCCATGTCACGAAAATCGCGACGATTTTCATGACATGGGGATGGTAACAAGCCGAAAAAATCGGCGATTTAGCGTGCGCTAAATCGCGATTAATCTCACGCTAAATCGGCGATTTTTTCGGCTTGTTACCATCGATATGCAGCAGAAAAATCGCGATTTATCACCGATTTCTAAAAAATCGGCAAAATCGCGACGATTTTCATGACATGGGATCGAAGCCTTTTCTTTACATCTTCCGAAAGTGAAAAACTATAGATATAGATTGTATTTCAATGAAATTATTTTTTTAATTACTTAGATACCTTCAATTTTAAAATAATCTATAATCGATTTTGAAACTGAAAAGTCAACTGAATTTTAAAATCAATTCCAACATATATCTACATATATATGTTCGTGTGTGTTCTCTTACTCTGTGTTCTTGTTTTTCTTCTCTACCTTTACGTGGTTAGCATTTTCTCAATAAAATCAAACTAATGTTCATCCAAAGCTACAGTTAAAATACAAGAAGCGTTTTCTGCTTCTTCTTGTCTTAATCCTTTAGAGAAAGAATAAGCAAAGAGTGCTTGTGTGTTTCAGACGAAAAAAAATACAGTTACCATCTAATTCAAAAATAAGTAAACAATTCTGAAAAAGTAAAAATTCAATAGACAAAAACTTATTAATAAAAATTACAATGTGCAAATCTCCAACTGAAATGGGCAATTGTCTATTTGCCCTCTCCGCTTGGCTACGCCACGGTGTGCTATCAAATGATATATAACAATTGAAGATTTGGCCAAGTTTTGACAAAAATATAAGATGGATAAGAGACACTTTTCTTCATAGAGAGACCAATAACAATGATTTGTACCATTCAAATAAATAGATCGAGAACTATTTGGATGTTGACATGGCATATAGAATTACAAACCTTTATTAGAAGCAACCAAGGTATAGGAAAACAAAGAATATATGTGATTTTTATTATAGTTTGTTATATACAACGATTTTGTTAAAGAAAGTTTGAAATTCGTTGTTTTACAGGTAAATTAGATCTTTAATTATATTAGGAAATGATATCTCAAGTTATTGGCAGTGCATTTTTAAGAAAATAGAACAAGCATAAAGTAATAGTGCTTTCGACGATCCTCTCAGATGATGTTCAATTTAAGAGAAACCTTCTTAAAGCTTTTATTTTTTAAATCTTAGTAAAACTTATGTAAAACTAGAATTTGGAATCACATAGCACTTGATAGTCAGAAAACAGTTACTACTGAAACAATGCCGTCTCAAGTATTTTCCTAGTTGATTTTGAATCGATCAACTACAATCTAATAATCTTGTCTACATGACTTTTTCATAAAAGATGAAGTTTCTCTATGCTGTTTTAAACATTTCTGACATTGACGATTGGCCTTGATTGGAAGCTATTCAAATGATTTGAAATAGAAATCGATTGTAGACTACAGTGTTTTATTGAATATGACCATCGACAGAATGAGACTTTCCTAGAAAACAGATTCATCCAATACGATAATATCTACTAGTTCCAGCGAAATTCTATACGGTCTCTTCGACATAGAAAATCTCCATAAAATCTTGTCGGAAATCTCTATTTATGAGAGATTTTGTCGAGAAAGCATCCAATTGAATCATAATAGTTTTCAAAAATAATGAAACCTAACAAAATCTCTTAATATTCTTCTGACTTTATGAGGAGAGATGGATATCCTAACTATTTTTAAACGTTTTAAATAATAATATAAACAATTAAATAATAGTATTATTCATAATAGTTTCAAAAAATTCTTTCTAAAGATTTTTAATAGAAAATAATCGGATTTTCTATTGCTTTTTAACAGAAACATGACATTATCATTTGTAGGAAAAAAAAGAGCGTTTGATTTCAGTTTTAATTTTCTAATATTAATCAAATTGAAATAGTATTTTACATAAATTGATTTTTGTCGTTGAATTTAAATTCATCTTCATCAAAATCAATTTTCATTAAACTAATTTTTCTTTTAATTGCTTCATTAATTTTATTGTACGTTTTTAATTTAAAATGATGAACTTTTAATAAATGTTTTTTTAATGAACCTATAAAAATTAAACTTCTACAATTATAAGATTTTATTTTATTTAATGGACATCGAATACGATGAAAACGTTGATCAATAATATCGAATCCAGATTGAAAAATACATGTTGTTAAAGGATCTAATTTATTAATTATAGCTTTTGTTAATGTTGATGATAATGTCCATTTCAAATGATGATAACGATTAAAATGTTTTATTAAACAAATATCAGATGTTTTTCTGTTTGATGAACATAAACGTAATTTATGTTTATTGGTCAAACCATATATACCAAGACGAGTTAAAGGACATTGACCATAGAAATGTTTTACATTATTAGATTTTATATTAGTATTTAATTTATGAGAATAATTAACATCTGCATTGGTGTCAGAATTAAACGAAGAAGATGTTTTCATGTCATTTTTATTACTAAAAAAGAACATAAAATTAAATAATAATAAAAGTTTTATAGATGTTGAAGAAGAGAAAGAGAATTTTCATTACTTTTCTTTTGCAATTGTATCTTGATGATATTCATGAATTTTTGTTAAATATAATTTAATTTGTTCAATTTCATATTGATATAGAAAAGTTTGATCATTTTTAACATCATTTAAAATTTGAAGTTTTTGTTTTATTAATTTTTGTGTTGCAATAACAAATTGAAACTCTTGTTCGAGTTCATTTAATTTATTATTATGATTCTCATTAACAAGAAAAATATCTTTTTGATAATTATTATTAAGATTTTTTTTAGTTTCTTCAATTGAATTAATTATTTCATTTAATGATTCAGTAACTTTATTAAAAGATTTTTCATATTGAACGAGAAATAAAGCTTTATGTTCAATTGTATGTTCTTGACATAAATCTAATTGACAATGATTTGAACATGTTGTTGATATTGAACGAGTGCAGAATGGATGTTCACAGACTTTAGACATAAATGTGGGTATTTGTTGAGATGATATCTATTCAAATCAAAATGAGTGAATGAATGGAAGAGATTTTGAACGTTTGGAAGGAGGATTGATGAGAAAGAAAACGGAAGTAATTTTTTTTCTGTTAAAAAATAATAGAGGTCACTAGTAATAGAATAAAATAGGATAATGAATTAATATATATTATTGATCAAGTTATATTTGTTTTTCTTAAAGATTTCAAAAGTTTTTGCTATACGAGGTTCTGATAGTGGCGGATATTTAGCTAGAACATATGTCTAGCAGGACTCTAGATAAACACGAATGCAACGAAAAAAAAATGTTGCACAATGTCAGTTAGTTTTTCCTGTTCTATCCCACGGGATCTTCAAAAAAACTTTTGAGCTCTAGTTCTTTCTAACAGGACAATTTGTCTACTACGAGCTAGAACCCATGCATACTGTACGGCTGTTTCCTCCTTTAACGTATGACCTTGAACGTTTAACTTTTGATCCGGTAATAAACATATACACACTCGATATTATGTACATAGATAGATAGCCCTACGACCTGATGCTCTTATATCGCACATATTTTTATAGTCCAGGTAGCCTTCAGCCTTATAGTCTTATATTCCTTGTGGGTGTGGGTGTGTGGGTGTGGGGATAGGTGTAAGTTTGAGTATATCTGTGGATGT